ATAAAAACAATCATAATTGCTTCTGTTGTGAAAGGATTTGGTTACAATAACAAGACTTCAATACTAGTAAGCTTTATTTCGTAATCTGAAGGTTACAATGTTGTCTTTTTATTATCTCCATGGTTGAGGTATCTGAATACATGCACATGTATAGGTTGGAATGTCACTGGCACAGATAGGAGAATTTGCATTTGTTCTTCTCAGTCGTGCTTCTAACCTTAAACTAGTTGAGGTTAGTGCTAAAATGGCTTTCAGTAAAGTGTTCAACCACTGAATGATTTATAAAGACGATCATGCCTAATGTTAGGTATAAAAGTGACAAATGACTTTATCTGTTAAACCCAGACATGATGATATAGATTGGAACTTAAAATTTGAATTATTACTGGCCATTATGGATTCTGATATTTGGCTTATTTCAGGGGAAACTATATTTGCTACTTCTTGGGACCACAGCTCTTAGTCTGGTATGAAAATATTTTTTATCTGTTTGTATGAACAGTTACTAGGATCCATAACACGCCCATGTTCTTCCTATTTCTTTCATCTTTGATCTATGGTGGATGTTGAAGAACATAATTTATGCAAACTTTATTCTGAATAGAAGTTCTGGCCTTTCCTTCATCATTTATTTTTATTATACTAGGATTTCAACAGTTCCCTTTCTTATGAGTTTCTTTCTTCTAGTTGAATGATAAGTTGGAGGACAATGTTAAGTTTTGTGTAATCTTTTATTACTGCCCCATACCACTGTATGACAGTGCGAGCAGTGGATAAGTTAAGCGCCACAGGTTATTCAAGTTGCTGGGATATGCAGAGAACATACATTAACACACAATTAGCTGCTAGCCTTAAACCAGTGCAAAGAAATTGCTACAGCCCAACAGAAAATGTTATTCTGTTCATTATTCAAAATGAATGTTCCTTTATCCAAAATAAACTTTTAAAATGAATGTTATACTAACTCTGATGGTAACAAGAAGTTTACCAAGCACATAAATCTCAGTAACTTGAATTCTATGGATCATCTGCTGCAATCAGTTTCAAAGCTTTACTCAGTACAGTGGTTACTATTATTATGCAGTCATAATCCTCTTAATAATTTATCAGCTTATTTCTGCAGGTGACAACTCCTTTACTTTTCAAGTTAATTCCTGCTGTAGTGCATCTTGGTGTGCTATTAAGGTGGTTTTCTCCTGACAGTCTAGTGGAGGTAATCACTTACTCAGAAGTTAATTAATTTACTGGAATGCTTTTTTTGGTTAGTCTTGATTTTTATTCCGAATATCTCGTCTTTTTTGTCTGAACGTAGATCGCATCATTTAAGGTAGAAAACCTCCGCTCAGACAGTGGCAAGCAGCGGATAATTTTGATGGACCATGAATCTCATGTTTCCTAATCACTGCACCGGATTAGGGAATTTCCATTGTTTTGCACAATGTTAGAAAGAAATTGACATAACTGTCATTTTTCTAGAATCAACTAAACCTTTTCCATGGTGGATACTAATAACTAAGTGACCAAATACTAACCAATGCAACTCATCTGAACCCCATAAGTGGAGAGAACAGGGAAGAGGAAAGATAAAGGAGTGGAAGAACACTCAATTGACAAGAAGACATACAGATGAAGCTATGAGGGAGATATTCATTCCACTACCCCACTTTACATTCATTTTTTTTTTCCTTTTTTGATTTTTTATTGGTTGGGGATGCTCATAAATGTATGATATGGTTTGTAATCTTAATAGCTGTTTATTTCCTGGAGCTTAGTTTTTTCTGGGTCCTGATGCAAGTGTAGTTTGCATGTATTAGATATTTCCTTTCAAGCTTATGTGCCCATTAATTGTGTTTTAGGCGCACAGCAATTGATACGTATTGTTTTTGTATAAAAAAAGATTTCTTCTCTCTACATTTAAAGCCTCATATTGCTTTTCACTTATGTTATTCACATCAATTTTTGTGTATCATTTTTATACTGACGAACAGTTTGTAAATAAGGGGTGAACGATTCATGACTTCATGTGATGAATAATAAGATATTATATTGATTACTACGCGTGTTGTGTCAAATTGAAATATTAATTGATTATATTACTAAATGCTGTTTAAAAGTTCCTAGTATGATCGGTGTAAAAGTGGTGTATAAATTTTGATCATATTTGCTTTGCTTCCATTGCTGTAAGCATCTAATGTATCAAGTAATGAATATGGTAGGCTCTTTCTTGTATACCATGGTGTTTCAACATCAATGCACGGTTGTCCCTGTTATGAATTTGTGGTCATTAGCTACTGCTGTCCCACTTTCCTGTCCTCATTTATGTCCCAACCAATCATTTTTTGCCAACTAATATAGATTTACTAGATCATTTTGATTTAAAATTTGAGCTAAAATTAAAATCACATTTCTGCAACAATGGAATGGAAGGTGCAACATTTTTCTTCTTCATAATCAACAATGATATTAATTTATCTTACTTTCTTCTTCATGGCTTCTCACCTTGAACCCAAACGACCATCATCGCCCCAACCCCTCATCTCCTCTCCAAGCTCTAACCTTTTTCATTCCACCTACTACGAAATTTCCCGTCTTTTGTAATTGAGATGATGAATTTAAAAATTTCTACTATGATTGCTTATTAAATTTATGTATAATATTGGGTTTGTTTTTACAGGTCATTTGGTGAACACCAAAAATCTTAGTTATTCAATAAATGGGAAAGATGAAAAGAGTTGAGGATTTGGACATGAATTAAAGCAAATAAGGGGAATGAAAAGAGTTTAGTTGAGGAGATGAAGAAACGTGCTTTGAGGAGAAAGATGAAATCTTTCGGTGTCTATGTGGAGTTGTAGTTGAGGAGACGAAGTGTTGCGAACAAAGATTAACATTTAATAAATAATTAAATATAAACTACAAAATATATTTATCATAAGTGGCAAAAGTTGATTGGTTGGGACAGAGATTGAAGATAAAAAAGTGGGATAGCAGATCCATCCCTGGTAGTAATGAATGTCTGGTTTAAATTGCAATGGGCATGTATTGACTACAAATGCGCCAGACCGCATAAGTTTATTTGACTGGACAGCACGGTGCTATGCTAAATGAACTGTGCAACCAGCAATGCGTTTCATGAATCGGGTGAAGGTGCAATTCAAAAAAAAAAAACTGCAGTGTGGTAACCATGTTCTATCTACAAATATAATGGTAGACCAAGTCTCTACTACCCTTGCCAAAACTTGGAAAAAAATAGAGAAAAAAATGTATATCTTAAAGTATAAAGAGTTTTTATATTGTTATTATATCATATATTATTTATATTTAATTATTATTGACTCTTAAATAAAAGTAATATAGATTAAGGATGAAGATGCACCGTTTTGAGTTTTTCTGTACCGGACAAAAAAGGTATTCAAAGGGTTTTTTCTGTGAAATTTTTTAATATTTATGCACTGTCAACATCATCTATATGATCACATATTTATTTGTTTTTTTGAAGTGTTGATAATTAAAAATGATTAATGATATAGTGATATTGTATAAAAAAATTATATAATACATTTTTTTTTTCATTTTCTTTATTGCAAAAAAACAATACAAATACAAGGTGACATGGTCCAATGCTTTCTAGAGAGAAAAATGAAGCTTCAAATAATGTCCATATAGTTGGTCACTTCATAAATCCTACTAGTATTGCTGATTCTAATTCATTTGTAACATCACAAGTGAAGACTATTGTGGGAGATGCCTCAAATCCCATGGACTTGAGAAAATTTAGAGGATTCAGTAGCAATGTCTCATTCTCTATGTTCATTGGAGGCATTGGAACCATATATATACAATAATTGGCTAGATACTTCAAACCCTTTATCTGCAACTTATAGTAATGAGAAGTGGAATGTAAACAAAAATTTTAAACCTGGACCCAAATGGATGAACATCATTAAATGTTGCAACATCATGCTTACAATTTCTCTAATTTCAGTAATGAACTATCATCAAGTCTTGCAACATCTCCAACCATAGGCTCAGAGATAAGTTGCTCTGATGGACAAGCTTCTTGCAGCAGTAGGGAACTGTCTAAGAGTTTGGATTCTATTAAACATGTTCAGTTTTCGGGCAGCAATACCGCGATCGAGATATCTCGCTGGAATTCAAGAGATACTTGCTCAAATTGCAGTATATTCATTTGAAAGTCTAGAACAAATGAATTATTCAGTTGCAGGTGTTAGAGCAGGTGAAAATAAATCAACTTCATGCTCAGAAGAGAAGGAATGGTCTGATGAAACTTCATTCATTCAAAAGCAACGGGCTCTCCAGCAATTGAAAAGTAAATATCAGTTATGGAGGCCACAAAAAACATCTATCTCGGTTCTACGAGCTTCGATGTTTCAAAATTTTCTTCATCCATGAGTTTCTGCACTAGGAAGATATAATATTAAGCATAGTTACCATCTTTCTCTTTTGTACTATAATCATCAGATATTAGAGCATAACATTTATTCAATTTAAGACTTGTGCATTGAACCAGGTACTTATTAGTCTTTCTTTTTTGTTACAACTTATTATTCTTACATGTCCTCATTCACAAAGGAAAGGCTACCCTTGCTGCTATGAATATATATCCTTGTGTGAAAGGTTTTTTAATACAACAAGGCACAATATTGATACCAGAAATGTGTATAAATGTTCTGCATTGTTGAGTATTATAGAGGAATTATAGTTCTCTTGAAAACATACTTTCATGTAATAATGTATGCCAAGATCAATACTCTCAGTTAACAACATAGTATATAACATGAGAGCAGCTTTGAATGAAACACGAAAGATATGAAAGTGAGATCTTTGGGTGATGGAGAATTGTGACAAAGTGTGGAGACTCGTAGATAACATGAGAACTGTGTTTTTGTTTTCATGACTAAAGCCCACATCGCGCAGTATATTGGATGGAGCCTATTGAGAATATTATAAAAGGAAGGAGCTAGTGTATGTTTAATTCACGGAGTCGTGTGATAAGTACAAAGCGAACTATTCTTTCGCCTTTTACTAAAGAATACCGTGTGCTTGTCACTTATAGCGGCATACGCTAATTTTTGGGAAGAGCTGTCCTTTGAGGGCTCTGCATTTATATAATTTAAATTTTTTCGCAAGAGTATTCTCTTGTTCATGTTTATTAAAATTTCTTTCCTGAAGTTTTTTTTTATGTTAAGAGTTTAATTTATTTTGTTATCTATCTAGTAATGGTAAATAAGAATTTTTCAATTTAATTTGATATTGTAGTTAAAAAGGCAAAAACTGCGTATTAAAGTATCTTTCATATTGTTTTATAATATCGAATGGTGTGAAAATTAATTGATGGGCATGAATGTAAAGTCCATAATCCTTTGTAACCTCTCCTATTATTTGGGTTTGGGGAGTGACGGGATAAAACTTTTGTAAACCTCTCCTAGTAAGACAGTAAGTAACATTAGTTTGAAAGAATTGATCTAAGTTTAAAAAACTTTATCTTAATTATTAATTCTAAGTATATCTAAATTAATGGATTTATGTAAAGAATTGACGTAAGTTTAACTTTTAAACTTATCTTTGAGTAAATAGATATTTCCTCATATATTATTAAAAAAATAATCTGTTTTTAACTTAAAAATCTTTCATAAAAATCACTGGAGAAATAATCTGTTTTTAAGTTATTTTAACCTTTTCAGATCTTATGTAATCACTTAGTTAAATGTAGTTCTTAATCTATACATGAAATCAAATATAACGTTTTTCTGAATTAAAAAGTTTATACTTTGTACTTTTGTAGTGACCTCTTATCTATAAAATATGTTGTTTCCTTTTTGGAATTTGATTCCGCTGGAGTATCTTTTTAACTACTAACACAAAGATATCTTCAACTAAACCACAAGAGTAAATTAAAATTATACAAACTGACAGAAAAGTGAAAAAGACAAAGAATACGCGTCCCTTTTCTCATGTATGCATCGTGTTGTTTCTTCTTAGTCATAAGACAGAAAAAGATATTCCCTTCAGAAAAGAACATATAAAATAATAATTCACATGGAACTTTATAGTAAAACCTTTGACATTTAGTTTTTCTATGATGAACATTATACTACTAGATCAACGTCTTGTTGATTATAAAACTAGATTATGTTGAATGACAGATAAATTATTTCTGTTTAATAATATAGGGTTTTGTTATTGATATTTGCCAAATACTCTACGACCAATTATGTTTATTCAGTAATTAATTGCAAAAATATTCTGAGTGTATATTATTCTTCAAGAAAATAATCATGCTAAATTGAAAACTTTGTTAAACTTTTGGATCATTGTCAAATGATGGGAGTTCAAGATAAGTTTTACAATTATTTGATGGTGAAGTATGAAACAAGAACAATTTTTTCATTTCAATGGTTATTTTTCATTCATCCTTACATTTCTAAAGAGTACATTTGAGATTATTGATTAAAAATATATATTTGAATTAAAATTTTAATTATTGAATATTATTTTAACCAATCATAATAAAATAAAAACTGCAAAGAGACAAAAAAAGAAAGAATTGAATCTCATCAATATAATAATTTATTGGTTTCAACTATACAAGTTGTGAAAGGTTGAAATAGACGACGACGTTTCATCCCGCGCGTGAAAGTAACTAACTCACTCTCACTCTTTTCTCGCTTCCTTTGGTTACACAATTTACATAAGCAACAAAAAAAATGAACGGAACTTTAGTCCAAGAATCGCCGGCACCGGCGATGTCAGAAACGCTGGAATGGAAATTCTCACAAGTATTCGGTGAAAAAACGGTCGATGAAGAAGTTCAGGATGGTATGCTCATGCTACTGTCTATTTACTATATTCCATTTTGATTATGATCACTTCAATTCATATGATATTTATTTTGATCACAATTCATTTGCACTTTTACTTTTGTTGCTTTTTCTAGAGCTTAGATAACATAATAGAACGGTGTATTGTGCAAAAGTAGCGTTTCCAATATAACCAATAAAAAGAAAAAGAGTGCTTCCTAATCTCAAAACCATACTGTTATTCTGTTATGTTACTAAGTTACTTGCTAAATGGGAGGAGTTTTAAAAATGAAATAGTATTGTGACTGTTCATCTGATTACTACGAACGCGGTGTGCTTTGAATAGTGTTTGAATGCAGACTTACCAGGGAGATGTGAGGGAAAAGGGATCAATAAAGTTTACCGTGAAAAGAGAAGAAATGTTGAGTAGGTGATTTGGTTTAAAGGAAAATTGATGATGTTATTACAGATAGAGAATCTTAGAGTTGAAGTTAGTCTAATCAGATGTGAAATATGATTTCCTCTTTAAGTTGAACTGCAATCGTTTGGCCTTCATAATTCTTATGTTAGTTAGGACTTAAGCACATGAAGATAGCTCAACCCAAAAGACTAATCCATTAGGTGGGAGTAGCCTCAAGGCTTAAGTACTGCATCAACTTATTTTCCACTCAGTGTGGGACTCCTAAAACTGTCACATGGTGTTACTTTAGCAGATATTTGACCTGCCAATGCCATCAATTTCTTTGGTTCTGTAGTTGTAAATAGTTTTGGCAAATGTTGGGTATTGCACTCACTTCTCCTCCCAGCATTGCTAGATATAACAACTGCAAGCTGATTTGAGGAAGTCCATCTACAGTAGAGTCAATATTTACTTTAAATTATGTGTGCCCTGTGATATTGCGATGTTACCTGGCCTGTCTCCTGCGTTTGCAGTTGATATCATATCTGCAGTCGAATTTGATAGAACTGGGAACCACCTTGCTACTGGAGATCATGGTGGTCGAATTGTTTTATTTGGAAGAGCAGATACAACAACAGATGTAAGTCAATTAATTGCTTCTTGATATATTCCCTTTCCCTTTTATCTAGTATTTCAGTTTTGTTATTCATATTTTCAAAATAATCTAGCATGGGGTACCCCGGAAAGATTTAGAGCAGATGGATTGTTTGCCCACTCGACATCCTGAATTTCATTACAAAACTGAATTTCAGAGCCATGAGCCAGAGGTATCATCTTACAAAGGTTCACTGGCTGATTATTGCTGTACAGATTCATTTTACTTTGAACCGCAATCTTCATTTTAATTAAGTTCTCCATTTATTTATGCTTTTTGGATTCAGTTTGATTATCTTAGGAGTTTAGAAATTAAGGAGAAAATCAATAAAATCAGATGGTGCCAGACAGCTAACGGGATGGTCTTTCTTCTCTCTGCAAATGACAAAACCATTAAATTTTGGAAGGTAGCAGGGTTGCTTTTCAAATTGTAAATATTTTAATTTGCAATTCTCTCACTGAATGCTTCGATACTTTAATTGCCATGATTCACTGACAATGATTATCCTTGTATTTTCAACATAGTTCTCTATTACACTAATTATATTCCTGTATGCTATATGATGATTCCCAATTCAAAATCCATGAAGATATTCCTCCAGTAGTCATATACATGGGAAGAGTAGACATCATCAGAACAACTAGTTTTAAATCTTTCAATTCTTTTTGCCTAATTTCATGTCTTCTTATACGTTATTTGTGACAATGTATGTTGTGAAAGAATGTCATTTTCAGCAGTTATTGATATTTGTCATGTACTCTGGTCGAAATCTAGTCATTTCATTCATGCTGAAAATTTATGTATGCTGCCATTGTTTAATGTTGGATGAAGAATTTATAAGAGTGGCCCAGTGCACGAGGCAACCACTAGTGGGGTTTGGGGAGGGTAGAACTACGCAGCCTTACCCTCGCAAGCGAAGATGTTGTTTTAAGGATTTGAGTCCGTGACATCCAGATCACAAGGCATGCAACCCCATTGTTGTGCCGAGGCTCATCCTTAAGGGTTAGGGTGAAGGAATGTTACAACTGATATAGTTTAGGGAGTTTTGGGAAGACCTTATCCTACTTGTTTGATAAGACTATTTATGTTCATTGCTTGATGTCTGAGAAACTAGGATTGCTGGACATTCTTTTGGTTGTCCCACCTTAGGCTTATAGTTTTATTTTAGCTGGTGATCAGGCTGAACCACAACTTTCTGGGTTGATTGAGTTGATTCTATCCATGGGTTATCCAGTTAATGATTTATCCCAGTCCTACTACTTAAAAAACAAATGTTACAACATATTTATATTATTTTTTTCTAAAAGCATGAGATTGACTTTGTGCGAGCATATATATAATAGATATTGATTTGGATGATCTATTAAACGTGGACTTGAGAAAATTTTGTTAAAGCATGTTATCTTAGACAGCTTTCAACTCATTCACTATTAATTATTGATAGATATTTTTATTCTGTAATGGCCATTGTCTCACTGCTTTGTTGATAATATAGGTCCAAGAAAAGAAGATTAAGAAAGTAAGTCACATGGATGCTACTCCAACTCATGCTATGCGAAATGGTCCACTTATTGATTCAAGTACATCCAACAGCTGTAAACCATGTATGAAGAATGGTGCTTCAATTCCATATGAGGGTGTTCAGTCCCTGCACTTTCCTGTTGTGGTAGTAGTTCCAAAACTAATTCTGGCATTATATTACTTAGGAACTCAGAATGAAGTCGGAAATTATAAACTTAAAGAGATATCATTATTTGAAAATTTATATGTTCTTATTTCATGGTATTGTATTATTATGGAATCAAGTGGACATTTCTTTATACGCAGTGCAAAAGCAAGCAGTCTAGAGTTGATGTTTAATTGATATATTTTCATGATTAAATGTCAAAAAATCAGGTGACCAATCATGAGACAAGTCCTGTGGCAAGATGCCGAAGAGTCTATGCTCATGCCCATGACTATCATATCAATTCAATATCAAATAATAGGTTCATGTTCTTTATATCATGTTTATTGTATTTCTCTAATTTGTTCAAAATTGCTTCATTTTGATCACTTTCATGCATTCATATTTAAACTTCCTTTTTGTAATTTTATTGAAGTCCTGTGCTCCTGGAATGGATGTGAATCGTAGAGCGATACTCCTTCTGGTGCATTATATCTGTCTTTTTCAAAAAAACTTGTTTACTCTTATAATTTCATTTGAGAATATTGAGAAAACATTAATTCCCTTTTGCAAGTTTACTCTCATAATTTATTAACTCAACTAAACCCACTAATTACACATATTAGTGGTGATTTCCGAGACAGAAAATATTCATGAACATTTGTCTATATATATGAGTTTAATTAATAGTATTCTTAATCCTTGTGCAAAAACCTTAAGATTGCTTCATACATCATATCTCTATTTAGAGTATGCTTTGCCCTTTATCATGTTAATGACCTCTTGTCTATCCCTATTTATTTCTCCTTTT